TTTTTTTCAATCTACTCTAAAAAATGTAAACTATCTTTTCAGAGAAATATATATTTTTTAATTTTTAATAAAAAATTTATAACAATTTAAATTTTTTAATCGTTAATTTTTATGATTTAACAATAAAACAATGTTTTTCTATGCCATTCGATTTATTATTTAAAATATTGTAATGTTGCTTTTGAAATTGTTTTACGACAAAAATAAAAAATCACGTTCGCTTTGTGAAATTGTTATTACTTTTTTATTAAAAATTAAAAAATATATCCATTTCTCTGAAAATATAGTTTATACATTTTTTAGAGTAGATTGAAAAAAAATTATAAAATTAATTCATTTTTCTGCTTGCTATGCTATATTTCTGCTATTTTTAATTTCTGAAATCATGCTTCAAGTCTCCTTAACTCTGTTAATAGAAGAAAAAGTCAATATACCATTTTTATGTAGAATTTTATGATCTGCAACTTTTATCAGAAACTTATATTATCAGCTAAATATTTAATTCTTTCAACGAAACCTACCGAAATATGATTTGTTCTAAAAAGCCGAAATCTCTTATTCTTTATCTCTTTCCAATGTAGTCAAAATAAATGTTTGTTATATCAAGCCATACTCAAATACAAAACTTTTATAAGTTGAAATCTGTTTAGTACATTAATTTTAACAATCCTTATTTATTATGTGCTGCGTAAATACTAATGCACTGCAACTAAATTACAAAAAAAAAAAAACATTGAATGAACATTGATGTTAATGTTTATGGAGAAATGTTTTGAATTTATAACAATATTTAATTAACAACTTCTTAAAACTTTTTGGCAACTATACAATAATGTATTGTATGTATGTAATGTAACAGATTTCAACTTATAAAAGTCTTGTATTTGAGTATAGCTTGAAATAACAAATATTTATTTTGACTACATTGGAAAGAGATAAATAATAAGAGATTTCGGCTTTTTAATATCCGTAACAAACTATATTTAGGTAGGTTTCGTTGAAAGAATTAAATATTTAGTAGATAATTGATAATAAATAAATTACTTAATTTAGTACCACAACAAACACTAAAAATCAAAATTACTCGGAAACGCACAGGAATTTCGAGACAGAAGAATGGACATTATTTTTGTTAAACTATATGTAGATAATGAAAATAACAGTTTTTTAAAAAATAGTCATTGGCGTAGAAGTTCTGTTTAAGAAAGGGGTTGAGCACCCCCTTCACTCCGCCACTGTGCAAGATTTTGAACATTTTTATCGCTTGTTTTATACCCCTTAATTAATAGGCATTATCTCCCAAACATGAAAAAAATCTAAGTATTCGTTTATAAGTTATAATGAATATTCGAGAAAAAAAAATTATATTCAACACCCTGTATCTCGGAAACGAAGCGTTCTACGACATATGTTTATAGGAACTTTTGTTTTTACAAACATGTGTTCTATCTCCTGTTAAAGTTTGTCTACAAAAAACTGACTCACCCTGTATACTTCAAACTAACTTATATAAAAAATTCAGGCAAGTTGACCAAAATTACCATTTTAATGCGCATGTAATTGGACTATTAATTATATATGGGTTTCAGTAACCCAAGTTAAGAGTTAAATCTGAGAATATATTTTTTAGATCCCACTTGGTCTGAGTTAGCAGACAGATACGAATACGACCCGGAATTGTTTTCGTCGCCACAACTTTTAAGGAAATTGGAAGAGGAAATCGGTGATGACCCCACCTTGTACGACTGGGAAAAAGTGCGTCTCAAACGAAATGTGCCTGGCCAAAATCGACGTCACTGAAATGAAAATCGGAAATACTAATATAATATAAAATTACCCTAAGGTTCTGCAAGTGCAGTGTTAATTAATCATATGCATTGCTATATTATATTCATCTGTAATGTAATTATAAAAAAATAAATACACTGATAGAGCAGGTAATGTGTTGTTTATTTTGTAATTTATTATAAAAAAATAACACGAATCAACTGATTTTAACTTGAAAAGTGTTATAATACTGGGTGTGTATTGAGTACTTGTACAAACTTTAAATGGTGAATCTTTGACTAATTTTAAGGTAAAAGGTTCATATGAACATGGATCTGCAACGGCTTGGTTCTTGAGGTACAAAGCGTTCAAAAAAAAATTTTGTTTGTTAATTTGATTATATTTTTGTTCAATAACATGGTAATTCGACGAAATTCAGGAAAGTGGGAGTATTGGTGATGAGAAACTCAAATATTTACTTAGTTTTTTGTGTAATGCTAGAGGGCGCCACATACAGTGTTTGCACTTGATTTTAAATAACCATAACTGTTTTGTGTCGCACTGTATGTCATTTTTGACTAAACATATCCATTCTCCATTCAATTTTACGTAAGAAAGGTACTCTTAGTATTTGTCGTATTTTGAAAACAGCCGTTGCATATAAAAAAAAGAGTTTAAAGTTAAACTTGAGTTGGAAATTTGTAAGTTAAATCAAAGAGTCTTTGAAAAACAAGTGAAAAATTGTGTCTTATTGATTGTCAAAGATTCACCCTTTAAAGTTTGTACAAGTACTTAATAAACACCCTATATATCGAAATTAAAAGTCTATTAAAATATTAACCAACTGGCTAAAAAATACTATACTAATTGTAAAAAAAGTTACTATAAAAAATATATAAGTAGCCTAGGTTTTAAATTACAGGATATTAAATTTTAGAAAAAGGCATGACTCAGATAATTTATTAACATTTGGTACAGTGTAGTAGTTTGTAGTAGAAAAATGTTTCATTGATTTTTTCAAGCTTTGAGGGCAAGTACATAAAGCTGAGATCATTTTTCAACAAATACCAAAATGGCTGCAAATATGTTAAAGACTTGTTCATGTTCATTTGTAATTTTTATGCGAAAAAAATAATTTCATCTCTTTTACGAGTTTCGTTGTTTGTGACAGAATACAAAACTGACGGATAATTAGTGTGGTTATATGTGGCACCATTTTCTGAATTTGAAGATAAAGAATTGTTCTCGAGTCCACTGCTAATCATATTGTATCCTGCACCTACAGTTAACAATTACTCGTACTTAGTGTAACTCATTTGCTGTAGTGTATAACGCAGGACAAAAACGTTATTTTTACTTTGTTGTAAATATATTTAAGTTAATCCAAACAAGTTAAAACATTGTTTCTAAAAATTCTTATCAAATGAAGTCAAACAAAGTTCCCCGATATCAGAGATCTAGGTACCTACCTATTCAAAAGATATCTAACCGATCATTTAAGGACTTCGAAAGCTTACTATTGTTTATTATATTAATCTTTTGATGAAATAGGACGATTATTTCGATACTTAACAAAACAAGTAAAAAATTATAATTGTAATACAGGTACGTTGTATGTAATAATTTCAAAACTATGTCGCGTATTTGTTTTTATAGGAGATATTTTTTAGTATGAAAATAAAAGAAACATTTAAGGATACTGTAGGAGAAGCCACTAAATGTAGAAAAAATAAAAATCTGGAACTTAAGAATAAAGATTTACATACAATATAAACAATTTTTTGAGAGATCAGAAACGAAGTTTTTGAGCAACTACCAAAGTATATCTAATTTCAATAAATTCGGTTCCTATTGTATAGGTATACCGGGTAGGAAAGTACCGATGGTCTATCTGAAGTTACGTGAGAGCGATAAAGTAAGCCATAGAAATCCATGCGATAGACAAGGATGGCTATAATGAAGGCGTCTAATAGTCAACGCCCATTTCGCCCTTCCACAAATAAGATCCACTTCTTATTTATGGAAGGGCGAAATGGGCGGTGACTATTAGACGCCTTCACTATACCCATCCTTCTCTATCGCATGGATTTATATGGCTTACTTTATCGCTCTCACGTAACTTCAGATAGACCATCGGTACTTTCCTACCCGGTATTTACATCATTTTTTTTTCTAAAATTTGACACGCTCTATTAAGTCGGAAATAAACATTACAGGACATTTATTCACAGGAAGTTTGTGCTAATAAAACTTAACTTGTATTCTCCTTTCAACAATTTGTGTGTACTCGTAACTGTGCCTCAATAATTTGACGATAATTGTCCTTAAACCCGGCTCCTTCGCCATAATACAGAAAATTTGTTTCTTGACAAAAATATTTTAATTAAATATAGTATACGGCATCTTCTACAAGACATTTTGTATAAAAACTGATGCTTTGTCATATGATTCTACTTTTGGCATGTGCAAAAAGTAAAACAGGGGACATGCAGAAATATTTAAATATGTAGGTACACTGAAAAAGATGTCTTGTAAAAAATTGCTATATTAGTTATTATTCTTCCCCATTTTGTGCGATGCAAACTGTCATAATTGTAATATAAAGAATATTGTCGTATGATTTTACAAAAAAAATGTATTACTTTTATTGCAGTAAAATTTAATAATACTGTCCTATTGAATTCTAAAATTCATATCTACCTCTGGGTTTGTAGTTGAAGGATGTATAGAGGTATTGCAAAACCATTATTAGACTAGTTAAGGCCCTAGTTTTAACTCTAAAACCAACAAAAGAAGTATAAATATCGGGCTAGAACTATTTAAAAAAGTTGCATAATATTGTAATGGGACTTTTCCTGAAATCATATCTGAGTTATTTCAATTAGTTTTTTTACTTCCACTTTAAATTATATTCAATTCAAATAAAATCAAAATTTTCCTAAAATTCTTATCAAATGAAGTAGGTAAGTAGAACAATGTTCTTCGATACCATACAGAAATCTAGGGTATTGTCGTAGGGTTAGTTATCTCTATTTTTTTAGCTTTGATTTGATACTGACATTCTATTTTTTTAATTTCATTATGCTACCAACTATAAGAAAAATCATCCATTATTAAACAATGTGGATCGATCCCACTTTTCATTCTTAAAATATGATTTTAATTTTCATTACCGCCACTGGCTTTTTTAGGAAAAGAAGATTGCTACCATGTATACAGGGTGATTCGATCATATTTTTAACCACGTATTCGGAAGGCCTAATAAAGACAGAAAATCGAAAAAAAATTAATCGTCCTTTTAAAAAATATGCAAATTCACTTTAACTCCCGTTAATTCGGCGCCCTACTTCACAATAGGGAAGGCGGCGGTGGACTATAGAGCGTTCAAACGTTGAAGCGAAACAGCTGATCTTCCCAGTTGTATTGAATTATGCAATTGGTTTCAAAATCAAAATGCGGCGGATCCCAACTTTATTAAAAATGCTATAGACGGTTGAGTAGGTACCTATACGTACTACAAACTGAAAAATTAATTGAATATAATATAAAAAACTCATATTTAATTATAAAACATAGTGAAAACGTTAACAATATTAAAAATACTAAATTGTAATAACTTAATATTCGAAAACGTTAATTATCCTTATACCTACTTTTGTTTTTATTAACAGATAAATGATACTTGTTTATATTCAAAATGTAAAAAAATATCTGATTCATTCATATGTCGAAGTAAAATGCTCTGTTTTTTCTTTATCGTTCAATACGGATTAAACAGGCATTAAAAGCTAGGTTAATGACCGCATATTATGGTAGGTCAAGTTTCACTCTCGATAAACCTTTGTGCGTCAGCGGTCGTGAGAGGTTCAGAAAGGGGATTAAATAACGATTTGAAAATAATTCTTTTCAACGTACCTAAATATGCATTTTAAAATTTTTTGTATTCACGTATTCGTATTCTACTAATTTTTCCCTATCAGCCCTTAAAATTATTAATGACAATATGAGTAAATCACCCTGTAGAGGAGACCGCCGTGATTATCAAGAAATTGAATTAAATATTTTATTTATAAAAATATACAGGGTAGCCCATCGAAAACGTACCGCAAGGCATTACAGGGTAGTAATGAACTTTTCGGCAAAATCCAAAAACAGGTAAAGTTTGCTTCTGAGGGGGACAACTTTTGGCGCAAAAAGCATAGCAAAATCTTCAACCCCCTAAGTGGGGGTGCCATCCCCCAAATTTTTTTAAATGGGAATGGGGGTCAAGTGGGGGGTCATTAGAAAGGGCTTTTAATTCTCTATACATCGATTCTTACTTTTTGAAAATCGATCCATTATTTTAGAAAATATGCAGCTTTGAAAATACGAACAATATTTTTGACGAGAAATGCGAAAATCGATTTAATTTTACTTCAAAACTTACGGTATTAGCTTGGTAAATTCCTTCAAAAGAATTCGCTGTTTTTTTTTTCTGATTTGCGAATTCTTTAGCCTGATTTTGGTGAGCAAAAAATTGTCCGCTTTTTGTTTCGTATTTAGATAGGCCACAAGAAGTTGCTAGATAACTGTCTTGTGACTTGTAGTTGAAGAGTACCAATACTGCCGAGTCTTTTAAATTGATTAATTATGGTGTACTCAATTCCAGAAAGAGTAGAAATTATTGAGCTTTTTTTCAAAAACAATGAATGCGGAAATCGGGTCGCCGAACTGTTCAACCAACGGCATCCTGAGAAACATGCGTCTGGAAAAATTGTTCGCGAATTGGTGGCCAAATTTCGCGAAACTGGCTCCGTTCATAACAAAAAGAGGCAGGTTGAAAATCCGGTACTAAATGAACCTACGGAAATAGCGGTATTGGGGCAAGTGGCAATGGATAGTACGCTGAGTACAATGCAATTGGCTACTGCGACAGGAGTGAGTCGTACAAGTGTCCAACGAATATTAAAAAAATACAAATTCCATCCTTATAAGATTCGGCTAGTGCAAGAGCTAAATGAAGACGATTTTGATCGTCGTTTGCAATTTTGCGAAATAATGACTGAACGAGCGATAAACGATAATTTCCTCTTTAATGTGTGTTTTTCGGACGAGTGTACGTTCTTCTTGAATGGTTTAGTGAATCGCCATAATTGTCGTTACTGGGCTGATACCAATCCAA